ATAGTGAATTGGAATGGATTTAAGTTATGTATTTTGAATGGATTTAATTCATATTATTTTAAGTTGTGAATTGGAATGGATTCAAGTTACACAGTGATGAACAAATTTTGTTTGGACATACAGTGCTGACAGGATCATTATTATTCGACAAAATAGTTATGAACAAAATACATTTTTTTGGCTACACAGTTGTGAACAAATTGTTTTGGGTTACATTCAGAATTCTAATAGCGATTCAGACGATGATTCTGTTTTTCCTCATCTTGCAAACGGTTATACAAATCCCGTAGAAATTGGAGTATCTTCGATCGATCTCAGCAATGATGAAGATACAAAAAGCAATGATGAAGATACAAAAAGCAATGAAGAAGATGATGATGAGAGGATGAGAGAGGTTACTGATTCGGCGATACGGAGAGCGTTCAGAGAAGATGAGAGTCGTCGGAATGCTCTGTTGACGGCCGAGACGGCGACGAGAGTGATGGAGGGTTGGGGTCCAAGAATTCTATACTAGACCAAAGCTCCAAACTCTAAAGATTAAGTGAGTCAGGGAAGGAGAGGGATGGAAAATTAGGTAGGTGTGCATTTCATTGTGACAATATTATGAATATGGGTAGATTTGGTAATAAGTGGAGTGTCCAAAAAAATATTATTAAAATTTAGGATTTAGGATTGAGGTTCAAAGAATTTTGGTAGGTGCTAATAGCAACACTCAATAATAATAATGTAAAACAACTTACCAAAATGAAACTTTTTCTTGCACAAGTTATGCACTCAATTCCTCCAGCATCCAACAGGACAAACATATGGAATGACACTATACATCCACAATGTATTTGCTGCAAAGAGAAATTAATTGTTATAAGATGGACAATAAATTACTAAAAGCTTAATGCAAACAATATGTGGAAGATGCAATTCATATAATCTCATGTCAACTCTAAATAAGAAAGGCTGTGAATTTTTTTTTAATTTTATAATTACATTAATAGGCTCCTTTTTTTCCTTTTTCTTTCTTTCTTCTTCTTCTTACAGAAGAAAGCATATGAATCTCCCAAACAAGCCTGGAAAATAAAATCTTTCACTCACCTTCCCGCAAGATTCACAACACCTCCAACCAGATGCATTCAAGTGGAAAGTCTCGCAGAATTTTCCCTCCTCATAAGCAGAACTAGAGTCATAAAAAGCTATAGTCAACATCTCAAAGTAACTAAAGAGAAAAAAGTGGATACATTTGAAACACAATAAAAGTTATCTTTGAAACATCACCAAACTGCTAATATAACACAAGGACCAAAATTTAATGACTTTAACATGTTGAACCCAAAACCCAACATGAGATCCAGGAACATGAACCACATCAATTCAGCTGCCGTCTTTTTCAATGCTTCTTTCACTTGTTATTTTGTCAAGAGTTTTAAACAACAATTTCTTAACTAGTGCAATAAATCAATCATATATGAAAGTAATCAGCACATGTGCAAGCTTACATATTTATAGGCTTTCAGAACACACCCTAACCTTAGGTGATTTTCTAATGCTTGCACTGGCCTTCTTATGATGCATTTATTTCCAATTTTATGTGAAAATCACAAACTGAACATTTGTTTTGTAGTTGTGGAGTTACTTGAAGTATGTTGTGGTAACCAGAGATGGTTTAATTATTCTAAATAGAAGCCAACATCAACATAAAACACTGCCCCCCACCCCATAAAAAAATAAAAATAAGAAATAAAAGGGTAAAGAACCAAAAGTGAAACCACTAACACAAACAAAAGAACAAAGGTGAGGACGAACAAAAGATCTCATGAAAAAGGTGACTGAAGAGCATCTTCAACTCCAATTCTATGAGTTTGGGTTTACTTGTTCCTTGCATATGTATGAATTGTACCCTTGTTTGTTTAGCTGACAAGAAAATATGTTGATCTCATTTTAAAAGAGCAAGGATCCTCTAGAGTGATTTTTTCCTAAAGTTTCCTAGAGTGCTACATTGTGTGGTTGAGATTGAAACTTTAGAAAAATTTCACTCTAGAGGATCTTTGGTGATTTTAAAAAGCAAAAATAGTCACAAATGCAACACACATAGTGCTACAACCTGGCATTTGCCATTTTTGTTAAATCTAATACTTCAACAGTTGCATCAGATGTAATAGCTCACCAATATAACTATTTTATATGGTCACCAGGAAAAATATAATATAATCTGGCTAAATCCCATGAAGAAAGAAAACCAAATTCCTGGATTAAAACTACCCATGACTATATTAATGTACATCTAAACAGTTTAGAATATCAACTAAGTCAGAGATTTGGTACACATACTTTTCACAATAACTTTTTGGGCAAAATTCAATTTACCCCCTTGTGGTATGGCTCTGAAGCACCTCTTTTTTTTTTTTTTTTTTTTTTGGGAGATCGGCAACAAAGAAAATTTTATTAGAAAAAGAAAAGGGGTGCAAAGGGAGGACAATAAAAGGGGTGCAAAGGGAGGACAATAAAAAGGGTACAAAGGGAGGACAAGATATCCCCTACAAAAATTATTTAACCATCACAAATTGCTTTCCTATCTCTAAAAATTAGAAAAAGTGGAATCCCTTGGAACAGAGCTGAAATGAAAGCCCAAAATGAAGCCAAATGACGAACTATATCCCATAGACTTTGAATTAGCAAACTTGTCCTCAAATGTCCTTGCATTCCTTTCCAACCAAATAACCCAAAAAATTGAAAAGACAAAACAATGCCACATCACTTTTGCTCTCTTCGAACTGCTGAATCCCCAAACATCCATTGAAATCATGAGTAGACAAGATCCTAGTTCCACCCATTGGACATCAACCAATCGAAAGAGACGACAACAAATATCCAATGATCCATCACTCCTACATATGATGCACCATTGAGGACAAAGAAAGCGATTAGGCCTTCTTTTTTGGAATAAATCGTTAGTCATGATTCTTCCCAATCTTATTAAAGGCAATAGAAGCACTGAAGCGCCAACATTTCGTAGGGCCTAGGTGCGAGTCATCAAAGCAAGGCTCTTGTTGACGGTAAAATATAGATAATTTAATACAAGCAAATAATTCAACATAAGTGAAATGAAATATTAAATATTTTAAAACATAAACACTAATAGTTTATCATAGACTAACAATCCAAGATTCACATAAACACAAACATCCAACTCATAAATCATAAGCATGAACATTTAAAAATAACAATAAAATTAAAATGTCAAACAAGATAAGCATAGAGAAAAAGTAGAAGGAGAAGAATAACGACAAATGTTAGTCTAGTTGAAAAGAAAGATCTATCCAACAGTGTTGGGTTATAATGTATGTTTAGGGGTTTAATCCCTTGTAGTCACATGTAAACACAACGAAAAAAAAAAAAGAAGAAGAAGAAGAAGAAGAAAAAAAGAGAGATTAAGTGAAATTGAAGGATGTTATTGTAATGAACAAACATTTTAAAAAGCCTAAACCTAAAGCGCATACTTCATGCGCTTTTATGGGATTTGTTTTACATCGCCTAGATGAACCTTGGGTATAAGGCGTGCCTTTAATAACATTGATTCTTCCATGAGCCAAAGACCACATAAAGAATACTACCACTTCACCCCCTCATGTTTAAAAATAGCCAAAAGCCTTCCTATGTGGTTTTGATCATTTTGCATTTTATCTCCCTACTATCATTTTGTCTCTCTACTATCAGTGTGCAATGGTGTGTTAGAGAGGGTCTTGGCGGGGTGGAAGCAACAATATTTGATTCGGAGTGTGTTGTGTAGTATCCTAACTTATTGCATGTCGATGCATATTATTTTGGTATCTGTGACTCGTCGATTGGTGAAGTTACAAAGGGAATTTTTGAGAGATAGTGGTGAGGATGAGTTTATGTATCATTTTATTGGTTAAGATGGGATTTGTTGTCCTAAGGAGGTGGGAGGCTTGGGGGTGGGGAGGTTGCGGTATGTGAATTATGCCTTGTTGGGGAAGTGATTGTGGCGGTTTGCTTGGGAGAGAGATCATTTATGGCGTCGTGTGGTAGCCGTGAAGTATAGGATGGGTAGAAGGAAGTGGAGTTCAGGGAGAGTTGGTGGGTCTCATAGTTGTGGTTTGTGGAAGGGTATCTGGCTTGGAAAAGGGGAGTTTTACGAGCAAATCCATTTTCGGGTGGGCTCGGGAGATAGGGTGATGTTTTGGAGGAGTCGATGGTGTGGTGAGGTGGCTTTAGAATTTCAGTACTTGTTGATTGTTTGTCTTGCCGTGGATTCGAATGCTATGGTGGCTTCTTATTTGGGAAGGGGTAGATTGGGAATAAGGTGATTTGGGATCTTCAATTGCGTCGCCAGGTTTAGGATTAGGAGCTTAACCAGTTGTTGGATTTATTGGGATTTCTTCATGGGGTGCATGTTCAAGGGAGGAGGGAGGATGCTTTGGTTTTGGGTGAGTGGGTTGGGGGGTGGGTGGGTTCTAAAGGCTTTTTTTCAATATCTTCTTTCTATCGAGCTTTGTGTAGAGGTGAGGTAGGGAAGTTTCGTTGGCGCTAGGTTTGGGTTACAAATATTCTTTCAAATGCGGCTTTCTCTGTGCCGACAACAGCTTTTAGTCGGATCCTTACGTTTGATAATTTGGTTCAGCTAACAGGTATTGTATGTGTTGTGTTGATGCATAATCAATGGATCATTTACTTATTCAGTGTCTGGTAGCTCACTGATTATGGATGCTTGTTTTTTTTCTACTTTTGGAGTAGTGTGGGTGCAGCAGAAAGGGGTGATCGTAGTCCTTTGAAGTTGGGGTGGGGGTCGAGTTGGTAAGAGGCATTGCCAAGCTTGGGCTTTAGCTCTTTTGTGTTTAATGTGGTTGTTGTGGTTAGAGTGAAATCGGCGTGTTTTCCAAAGAGTTTTCGCTCAGTATCCTGGTTAGAAGATAGGTTTTTACAAGTTCTATGTAACTAGGTGTCAAGGAGTGTAGATCCTGATTTGTTCACCTTTTTAGATTTTTCTTGATGATGTGATTGGTTAGTTGATTCTCGTTTTTTGGGGTCCCTCAGTTTTCTATTCTTTAGCATCTTCTTGATGCTTTTTCTTCAATAAAATTTATTTATCAAAAAAAATGGGTTGGGGGCTGGGGTGGGGAGGGGGGAATTTAATCAAAGTCAAAATACAGTATAAAATGACAATTTGACAAATATAACCTTATTTCCGTCTTCTTCTTCAAAATCCCTAACCCTAACCCCCTCTCCATCCTCCAAATTCTAGCCCTAATCCTTAGTGTTATGTTGCATTTTTATTATCTTTGAATTGAATGACATATTCATATATGTGAAATATAATATAACAAATATATAAAATAATGTCGTGTCCTGCATGTTTGAAAATTAACAAGTTGTCGTGTTCATGTCATGTTGCATAGAAGCCCCAAGCAACCAAATACACAAAGAAACACGTTCAAGACAATAAGCACACCAATAAATAAAACATACAATGTGGAAGTGATGGATTATGGTAAAGTCATTACTCCTTAGTATCATCAAGTGGTTTCGCATAAAAATCCTATGAAGATTTGAGCTAAGGTTTACTACAGCTTCTTCTATAGGCCTAGTTCTCAACACTTAAATCTAGCATGAATAAATTGAAAATTTTATTAGAGACTTGATAAAACTTGATATTTGAGAATTCTCAAGAATTTTTTTAACAAAAATCATTGGAAACCAACAATAGCATTATGTATCTACTAATAGACAACATATTGAAAAATCATACCCAACTAGAGCCACACAATTTTTCCTCCTAAAAATAGGTTGGATTTAAACTCACCCGCATTATAGAAACATGATTTCATGAGGAACCAAAAATGTCTAATCATTGACTGTTGCAAGTCTGAGTCAAGTAACAAGTAGAGGAATCAAAATATTTTTTAATGTAACTTGTTTGAACTTTGAAGAAAAATGAAAGCGAGGATAGAAACTTGCAAATCATAAAGTACAGTTTTAAATCTTTTCTTTCCACAAGTGTAGGGTGTTCTCAGATCTTTCCTCATTCCTCATATATATATATATATAATATATTTAAGTCTTTAAATGTCATAACTAAGCCATCATAACACCTAAATTGTAAGCTCTCAAAAAAATGACAGGATCCAAAAATTTATGTTTTCAACATTTCTTCACTTTTATGGTGCATTGAACCACAATTGAAGCATTTTTTGTTACTTTCTAGCCCAAATAACACATAAACCTCTTTGATAATCCTATATATATCTGACACATCCTAAGCACCTATACTTTGTGGATTTTCATAATTAATTCAGATAAGTAGCCAACACTTTTAGACTACCCTTGCCATCACAATTACTGTCTTGGCAAGTCCTTATTGTGACAAATTGAGGATGAACCTAAGCCACACAACCATTCTTAGATTACCAGACTAAATTCAACTGCAACCCAGCTGTTAACTCCTTAAAAATATATAAATTTTAGTAATCCCAATAAATGTTGCAATGTTTATACATTTTGCAATAAGCCTGCCTTTTTTTTCTTTTCTTTTTTTTTTGAACAAAGTAAGAAACCTATTCAATGCATACAAAACTCACAAGCAATATTGAGTTAATAAAAAAAGAGAAACAAAAAATAAATAAATAAATAAATGAAAATATAACTTCCATGGTCCAATGCAAGCACTATAACAGTTCCTGTGGAAATTCATGAAGAAAAAATAGTTCTCATTGTCTTAATGTATTTGTGTTAAAATCTGTGGAGCATTTATAAAAAAAATATTCAATTAGCTTCAAACCTCTTATTTCTCTGTGTCTCTTTTAGGGGGTGTCTTTGTTTTCCATCAATTTCAATTATTCTCTGTGTCTCTTTTAGGGGGTGTCTTTGTTTTCCATCAATTTCAATTATTTACCAACTCCATTACTGCAGCGGGAAAAATAATATTCCATTAAACTCATCTCATAACTTCCATTTCATCAACCAAACTTAACACCACAGAATGCACAAACCCAACCACGAAGTTTTCCTATTCAGCACAACGTGCATATCAAGGAGCCATTATTTCTTGCACTACAAATTAGTCCATAACCACCTAATTAAACCTCCACAAAGCAACTACCCAACTCAAACAAATGAAGAAAAATCACTACAAAAGCCCTAAAAAGACCCACTTTTTTCCCTTTCTGTTTCATATTGTTTTGACTTTTTTCTGCTAGACCAAAAAAAGCATTCCACAAATTTCCAACTACTAAAAATAAGAAGTAATTACAAGAAAGATAGAAGATATAAAACAGAACAAAAGCCAGTGAATCAGTCAACAAGAGTAAACCAAAAGTGAGTGAGAAAATTGCTTACGCGCATCGATCACAGAGGTCAGCGAACTCGCCGGTGCGACGACGCCAGCCTTTCCTGGACCGTTCCAACACATCTTTACAGTTCGAATTGAAGCAGAACTTGATCGACGAAGACGACGACATCGAAGCTTCAAACACACAGCACCAACAAAACTAGCCCAACATCAAACCCTAAGCCAACTCTAAAAAAGAGAGAGAAATCAAATAGAAAGAGTGCTAGCGAATAAGACAAAGAGCGATTTCACATCTATGCACAGTTCGAATTGAAGCAAGAAACGAAGACGACAAGGATAACTCAGAACAAACAAAAATGGACGAACATAAACCCTAGGCTTGCGCTTTTAGTGAGAGAAAGTAGAGAGAGAATGACAATGGCTGTGCTCCGATCAGTAATCATGAGAGAGAGAGAGCGAGGGTTTTAGAGAGAGAAAGAGAATAATATAGCAGAGAAGAGAGAGAGAGAGTATGGATATAGAAATTTGTGTGCGTAGAGAGATACGGGTTTGGAAACACGTCGAGTTGACTCGAGTCGTGTAATGTAGCGTCGTCGTTTATTTCTTGTTTCGGCGTCTTTCTCTTCTCTCTCTTCTTTTAATCTGTATATCGTCGTACCTTTGTCCTCGTGTCATTGGATGAATTTTAAGCATTATCTGAAAAAAAAAATTACTTGTATATACAACTGCCGCTGCCGGTGCATTGAAAGGGCATGGATGCAAGGGTATTTTTGGAAATACAGAATTAATTGTTTAAATTCGTGGAATATATTATGGATCTAGTTTGATGATTCGAATTGTTCATTTTGTTGAATATTTTGTTTATGTCATTATAAAAAAAAAATTAGGCCGATCAGATATTTATAACTTATTCAATTTACCATATTTATTTGTTTTCAAGAAAATAAAACAAATGTTTAAAAATATACTATTCATTTTTTTTTAGTGACAAATATGATAAATTGAATATGTTACGATTATCGAATCGATTTAATATTTTTGTATGGATGTATGGATGATATATAGGAAGAACCCAACAAAATAAACAATTCGAATCAACAACATAGGCCTAAACAACATCTTTTAATCCAAAATACAAATTGGAAGGGATCCAGCTCCTCGGAAAAATTATATTTCAATTGGATAGTGAGAAAATAATTACATATTTATAATGATGCAGGTCTCTTGTGTGTAGAGGCGTATGCGATACAATTCAGACAGTTTGAAAGTAAATTTATAAATCGAATGGCAAATTAGCAGATTGACGGATTGGCAAATTACAGTTTGAGTGATTTTAGGCGGATTGGAAAATTAAAGAATATTTTAACAATTTTTCAAGTCTTTGCATAATATATAACACTAATTTGCATAATATTTTTCATATATGTAACACAAACTAATTTTACATAATATTTTTCATATATATAACTACAATTTTGTAATAAATTTCATATATTAAATCTCTTTCACATTCATTTTTAATTTGATATTTCACTATATGTTAAAAAATATATATGTATTATTTATAGCAGAGCGGAACAATTTCAAATGCGAATTATAATTTTAAAATTTAAACCACAATTAGCGGATAGAGCAATATAGATTGATGTGGATCGATGCGATTTTAGTGGATTGGATTGTATTTTGCAGAGCCCTACTTGTGTGTATGGTGCAAGTTTTTGAAAATTAGAAAATATGAAGAAAAAAAATACTAAAGATGAAAAAACAAAAAACAAATGAGAAAACAATTTTTGAAAAGCAAACAAAATTCTTCAAAAATTTTGATTTCTTTTTTTTTCTTTTAAATAAAAATTCCTTTCTACCTACATATATATACCATGTATTTTTTCCATAAGATAGAAGGTTCACAATGCATATAATAAAGCCTCGATTGGAGGGTAAGTATTTTAGTCAAAAAATCACTATAAATTATCACATCACGCTCTCTACTTTTCTAAATATATTTTCATAAAAAAAGCTAAAAACTTACTAAAATAGCATATTCTCAAACGAGGCTTAAGTGTAAAGAAAAATTATGTAAGTATATTTTGAAGCTCTCGCATTGTTCTCTTAGAAATATGATTGTAAACAAGCCATGCTGAGTTAAATTTTTAGGTGTTTGAGTTTAGCTTGTTAGGAATTCAAGTTCAAATCGAACTTAGCCCCGGTTTGGTTTTCCTTCTAGGCTAAAAAATCATAAAAGGATAAAAAAAAATTAAAAAAAAAACAAAAAGTTAAAAATCACAAAAGGACAAAAAAAATATTTGTCATTCTAAAGCCAAAAAGCAAAACAAGAAAACCAAACAAACAAAAAAGTCTCAGGTTAAAAAAGTTAAAAAAATAAAAAGTCAACGAAAAAAGTCATTGCCAAACGACGCCCTTAAAAATTCAAATTAAAGCTCGGCTCAAGCCAACTAAATTTTATAAATAAATCGTGCTCAAGCTTAAAGAAAAGATTAAATCAAATTAATTTAAATATAATGAAAAAATAATGGGCAAAATATAAAAGAATACTCATATTAAAGATAAATTTCATCAATCAAATATATAAATATACACAAACACAAACATAAATAGATAAATAAAATCAATTAAGGAAAGTACTTGATGTATTATAAAAAAAATATACTAATTTATCTTCATTATGTTCTCGAGTCTTATCAAGTCGAATTTGAATAAAATTGAGTTCAGCTAAATTACTAAATGAGTCTAAAATTGTGCTCAAGATTATTCACTTCACAAATAAGCTAAGCTCAAACCAAATTTGATGCTCCATTTGATTTTGGAAAACATTTTGTGCAAAACATTTCATGGTCAATGAAAAGAATTCCCAAAAAAACATTTGCATGGTCAACAAATTATTTTGCCCGAAAAAAAAAATTAATGAGTTTTATATTTTTTTTTTCACCAAACTAGCTTTTACAAATACTTCAAAAACAAATTTTAAAAATTCAACCAGATAGAGCAAAACTTCATTTGAAGGAAAATTATTTTTTACTTTTAAAATGTTATTTTTTTATTTTTGCTTATTACGAAAAAATGTACAACAAACTAAAAGATAATGTGACAGAAATAAATCAATAAATAATTTATTTGGGGCAAAAATTCTATCACTTTCAAAGTGAAGGAAGTATAAGTGATCTATGCATTAAAATGTGCAAATAAGTCCTATACGCCTATCATTTTCAAATTATTATTTTTACTCTCTACTTTTTTGAAATTTTCCTTTTTTTTTTAACGACCTTATTAGTTATTAGGTACATAAGTGTAAAACGACAATAATAACCCCACATGCCAGCGGAAGTCATGCAATGCAATCACGTAACGCTTTGTATTTGACACGCGCGCGTTTTGTTTTTAACTTTTCTTGGCAAAAAGGGCATTTGTTTGGTTTGGTTTGGTTTGGTTTTGTGTACTTTGTGTAAAACACAAGGCATGACTTGCAAAATTGAAGATGGCCAAAATGTCATAAATGTGCAACTACTCTCCCCTGTGCTTTGCTTAGGGCCACACTACCTTATCCAAATTAGCATGAACGGTTCAGATTTTATATGTCAAATTTTATGAGTCACTGAAACAATATAATCAAATTTTATAAGTCACTCAAATAATCATAGGAGGTTATTTTCTTTGAATAAAATTTTAATATAACAGTGACATGGCGTTATTGTTGACACCTTATATCACTATTTAATCATAATACACGAAATAGGAAAGTGAACTCTATTATTTAAATCTAACCACTCTATCCATCTTATTTCATTAGGGGTGTAAAAATAGCTTGCGGTTCGTAGACGGCTCGAAACTCGCTCGCGATTCAAGGTGGGCTCAACCTGTTTAGGACCATGCCCAAGCCCAGCTCTCTGGACCGTTATTTTGAAGTTCGGACCAACTCAAAAAAATTTCGTCCTATGGGCAGCCCAACCCAATCTGCAGCCTATCCCCCAACGGCTTTCTGCTATATCCAACAGTCAAAATTCACCACAAAAAAAAAAAAAAAAGTTCTTTCAAATGGTCAAATGACCGTTTAGTTCCAATGGTAATTTTTTTTTTTTTTCCACAAATTGACTCTATCCTCCCAAACTCTTATAATTATCCCTCATCTCCCATTTTATTTCTCACAAATAATTCTCTCTCTCAACTCTCTCAATTAATTTTGTAGTCTCATCCCTAAGTGGTAATTGTAATTATGCAAGAATAAATTTTATCAGAAGAAGTTAATTTTTGTATCTCATTCGCCAGTCAGTAACATTAATCATTTCTTAACATATATTAGTTGTTAGTGTTTAATCATTATTTAAATTAATTATTAGTTTACTTATATTACCATAGATCTTAATATTCCTAATGTTTATGTCGATATTGATGCATATGATACACAACATGAATATGTTGATTCTCCTTCTAATGTACCTAATATCTATTTTTCAACAGTTGGATCATTATCTAGGGGCACGACTAGTACTGTTTGGGATTATTTCGAAAAAATATATGTAAATAAACCTGATAGTACAATTACATTTAAAGCAAAATATAAATATTGTACACATTAACTTAGTGTTGCATCTGTAGGGGTACTAATCATCTAAAAAGACATACTCGCAAACATTTACAAAGTTAACAACCTGACATTAGAAGTCAAATGCAATTAGGGGTTTCATCGACTAGTCTTTTGCAAATATTTTCATACGATCATATATGTGTACAAAATTCTGTAAATGATTATATTATTAAAAAAGAACAACTTTTTACTACTAGTGAATGTTTCGATTTTTTACAAATGGTTCACGAAAGCTTTACACCGCAATATCAAAGTTTTTCAAAAATACTACTAGAAACAAGATTTTAAAGTGGGATCACCTTGTTAAATACCTCGAGATAGTTGAAACACACATGATGGCACACCATTGATCAACACCGAATATGAGACAAGCGAAACACAGTGCATGACTAGCTCAACATATTGCTGCAGAAAACTAACAGAAAATGAGAAATGTTCTTTGATAGATTTCAATTGATCAATCATACAGAAATTTATATACTTGTACAAGAGTTAGTTAAGAGCTTGTTATAACCACCACTACTATAACTCTTATATCTATTACACTTAGTTACAATCAATACACTAGGTTGAAGTTGAGATTGATGATGCATATGCTCCAATTGTTGTTGATAATGATACTACTCTATAGGCTTATCATTCCCCTTCAAGATGATGGGGCTTAGAAGCACCAGAAGCTTGAATTTGAGATAATAGAATTGAGATGAAGTAAGTGGTTTGGTAAAAATATCAACAATCCGATCATCAGTAGAAATGTAAGCTAAATAAATTTGCTTAGAAGCAACTATTTCTCTAATGAAGTGGTAGTCTACTTCAATGTGCTTGGACCTCGAATGAAACATAGGATTCAAAGCTAAAGCCATGGCAACCACATTATCACACCACAATATTGGGATAGATGAACAAGGAACATATAAATCTTTGACCAATTATTGAATCCAATAGATTTCAGTCGTAGTATGTGCCATGGACCTGTATTCAGCTTCAGTAGAAGACCAGGAAACGATGGGCTGCTTCTTTGCAA